AAGGAGTTGATTGAGCCAGGGCTGTTCTCTGGGTCCTGAAACTACAGGAGGGTGGCGAAGGTGATGCACTCCCGGACATGGGGCTGGACTTCTGAGAAGAGCTCGACCCTAGCAGGGACTCTGGTGGTCAGCCAGGGTGTGGGGAAGGGTGGGGAATGTGGGGTCTGGGGACTCTGTGCTGCCGTTCTTGTAATTATCTATAGTTCTAAGCCTTCTTGTGCTGCTAGTAACTACCTTGTTCATGGGTGATGCCATGAAAGTCTCCTTATTTTACATCGTTGAGATCAAAAGTAACACAGTATCAAAGAAGAGTAACATACATCAATTTTCCTGATACTAATGTGAATTGAAAATACTGTATCTAAGGAAGAACTGTATTAATGGGATTGTATATAGGGAGAAAGGTGAGATGAGAAGCGAGGGGATGCTTCCTCTGTTTCTTTACCATTTTATTTTACTTTTTTTGCATTCTATTACGTAAGCATTTTCTGTTCTCTTAAGGATGCGCTAGCGAAAGATTCGGAAACTTGTCCTGATAATAATGGGCACTCTCCTCTTTCAGCAGATTTCTGCACATGGCCGATCTTCTTCCAATGTAAATGGCGGGCCTGAACTTGATCGTTGCATGAGTCCTGAAGGTAGTTCTCAGTCTATGATTACTTTTTTTTTTTAATTTTAAAAAAAAATTGATTTATTATTTTTGGCTGTGTTGGGTCTACGTTTCTGTGCGAGGGCTTTCTCTAGTTGCGGCGAGTGGGGGCCACTCTTCATCGCGGTGCGCGGGCCTCTCACTATCGCGGCCTCTCTTGTTGTGGAGCACAGGCTCCAGACGCACAGGCTCAGTAGTTGTGGCTCACAGGCCTAGTTGCTCCACGGCATGTGGGATCCTCCCAGACCAGGGTTCGAACCCATGTCCCCTGCATTGGCAGGCAGATTCTCAACCACTGTGCCACCAGGGAAGCCCTATGATTACTTTTGTAAGGGAAGCCATCCATGTGAACTTGGTCGCCCCCCCAAACCCACTTGTGCTAAATTATCTCCCTAAACAGCAATGGGATCATGACACCAGTTAGCCTGTTTAGCCTTATTGGGCAGGTGTCACATCAATATGTATGGAATCTCGTTAATTAAGCTACCCAATTTCAGATTTTAGTCTTGGGTTTCCTTTATTTTTCCTTAGTGGCAATCTGCTCACAATTCCTAAATGTAGACTTTCCTTGTTCTTAGATAACTTTAAGTGGGTTTTCTTTGTTTGATGTCAGCTATGTACAGGGCACTGGGGATACATTGTGAAAAGTGGTCGATCTTAAACACTTCCTTCTTCTGCCCCTCCCCCCTCTCCTTTTTGAGGACACTTTGAGCCAGAAATTAGCCTTAACAAGGTATCCTAAGTGGCCATAATTTTCTTTACTAGAAAATCTTGAAGAGAAAATTTCTAAGATTAAGTCCCCATCATCATCCCCTCCCCCTTTCTCCAGAGTTGACAAAAAGTTTACAGAGTTTTGGTTAGACTTCCCTTTTACCCAAAGCTGATCACTTATTTTCAGCTGATATTTCAGGGATTTGTTAGGTTTATTGACTTTGTTGGTTTCTGATTCCAACCAACAAGGCCAAAAGGAAATTGGTGATTCAGGTGTTCTATTCAGAGAATACGCTCAGAGGATTTCCTTTAGTTTTACCACAGATTTAGAAATAACTCCATTGTGATTTATTATTTCACCAATCTGTAGGAATCACAGTGAAATGTGATGTGTTCACTAGACTTTGTGTTTATCCTTTTTTGCAGGTGTGAATGGAAACAGGTGCTCTGAATCGTCAACTCTTCTTGAGAAGTACAAAATTGGGAAGGTTATTGGTGATGGCAATTTTGCAGTAGTCAAAGAGTGCATGGACAGGTGAGTGGATACTGAGGATAATCGTTTGTTCACCGACACATACATTTCTCCTTTGGAGTTTATTCCTATCTGAATGAACAAAAGGCCTTCTTAAAGAGTCTACTCTTAGGACTAGTGTTTTGTATGCCCACGGGCAACTTGGACAGGGGAAAATATATGTATACATGTAGAATATAAACCTGCTTTGTACTTCGGGAGATATATCAGGTCTCATCCATGAGCCAGAGAAAAATAGGAAAAAATACGATTCATTTAAAAAAAAAAAAATCTCCTATAGCACTTATCTGTGCCAGGCTCTATTCTCAGTGCTGTACTTATAGTAAGTCATTAACCCTCTCAGCTAATAATTAATTGCGTATTATCAGTAGTTCAGGATACATGAGCTCTGACTTTATTCAATTTCAGAATCAGCCAACTTTTGCTCATATTAAAATTATATTTTTGCTTGTCCAGCCTTATTTTGTTTAAGGTCCTAATTTCTCAGATGGTAAGAAATCCATTCTTTTACATTCCAGGCCTTTTGTAAACAATATTAAAACTGGAAAAGACTCAGATTAGAGTCTTCATGTTTATAGCCTGGTATTCTAGCTGTTCTAAGTGGTAATTTTTGTTGTGGTGGTGGGAGATGGGTGAGGGGGAGTTTTCCAGAAAGTTCTGGTAACTACAGTTTTCCTGTTCTGCTACATCTCCAGTGAAGCTTTACTGCTCCTTCTATGGTACACAAAGTAGCTCCCTGTCTTCTAAGCCCCTCTGCTTAGCTCTGGTACACAGGTTGCTGCTCAAGCAACAAGCATCTAAAATACGACTTCTAAAGACTCATTAGAAATCTGAGGCAGTGTTTGGTTTCTATTATGGAGAAGCAGTTTAAATAAAAGTTATTCTTCCAAGGTCAGTCTCACCAGTGTGTACTGTGACCACCTGGCAAAAGCAGCTTGTGCTTGAGAGAACCAACCTACTCCAAGAATACCACAGTGTTCTTTCTTGAACTGCTTTCCTATTCTAAAAGATGTATTTTTGACATGTTCAGATTAAATTATACTAAAGGTGATTAAAAGTTAAATAACATCATCAGGATTCCTGTGTCAAATGAATGATGTCTCTAGTACCAGATACGGACGTTTAAAGGTGTGGATAAGGTGGCACCAGATCCTAAGTGGAGTTTTGGCTGAGAATTAGAGACTGAAAGTCTAGGAACTTTTCAGTTTTGAATTATGGGCTAATTAGTGACTAATGGACTCATGTAAAGACATTGATAAAAGAAAATTTTTTGTTACTTTGATTCATTTTTATTAATTTTATTCTGTCTCCTAAGAGAACTATTTTTGAGATATAAGTATGGAAGAACAGCTTCTTGTCCAAGTCTGATACAACAGAATTTAAATACTTTAAATATGTGAGTTACTTAATATTGTAATGATTAATAGTTATAAAAGGAGATTGACAGTGTGGCTTTGTGGGTTTTAAAAAAATATTTTGTGGGTATTTTTCTCCCTGACCCCCTCAGCATCCTCTCTGGTGTACAGAGAAGGAAGCCACTCTTTTTTCCCTGGGTCTGTGCTGTAGAGGAAATCAGGATGGATGATGTCTTTGATTTATGTCTTTAAATGGCCTTCCTCTGATTATTCCTTAGGTCCACAGGAAAGGAGTTTGCCCTAAAGATTATAGACAAAGCCAAATGTTGTGGAAAGGTACAGTATACATAACTGTTTTGTAAAAGAAACTGAAAAAACTTAGAGATGTTTACTGCGGTGAAGGAATTTTTTTTTTTTTTTTTTTTTTTTTTTTGCGATATGTGGGCCTCTCCCGTTGCGGAGCACAGGCTCCGGACGCACAGGCCCAGCGGCCGTGGCTCACGGGTCCAGCTGCTCCGCGGCATGTGGGATCTTCCCGGACCCGGGCACGAACCCGTGTCCCCTGCATCGGCAGGCAGACTCTCAACCACTGCGCCACCAGGGAAGCCTCGCGGTGAAGGAATTTAAGTGGTGATTTGACAAGATCATAATAGGAATAGTCTGCCGATAGTAGCGGGGGAAGCCTTATCAAGCTTTTTTTTTCCCCCTGCCATTTTTCAGAAACCTTAATCCTAAAACAGTAAATTGATTTGATCTCTGTCCTAACCATTGAAAAATACAAGTTCTTCTCTCTGGGAGATGTCTATATCAAAAGCCAGCAACACACAAAAGGTGCCCTCAAGAACTGTGAGGGTTCTGAGACTTTTCAAACTAAGAAATTAGCCTTCCAGCTTTGTAGATGTGGCAGAAGACACAAGATTCCTGGGTCAGAGATGAAAACTACTACTGGTGCCATAGCAGATAGCATGAGCTCCATGCTTGCACTGGTTCCCAAAGCCCACAGAAGTGATGCAGAGGGGCCCAGCTGGATGCTGTCCACACAGTGGGTTTGTGTCACAGTGGAGGACCCCCAAGCTTAGGAACCCCCCAGTCTTATGAGGGGGCCACTAGCATCCTACCCAGCCTCTGCCCCAGAGGAGAGCATTATTTTTATTATCATGGTCAGGAAACAAATCGCCCTCCACCCCTGGGAGAGACCCTGTCTCTGTCTTCAAGGGTGTTTGCTATACAGACATACTTGGAAAGATAGTTTGTAACTAAAGCTGATGTGGGATGTGTAGAAACACCATGGATTGTCTCCCCAAATAGATGAACTTTTTTCTCTGTCCTACTCTGAAGATGGGACTGGGAAAAAAAATCAAATGATGGAATGCTGCTAGATTACTGCCATTTCAACTATGTTTGAAAGGATAAATATTCTACAATAGTGATGACAAAGACCTTTTCAGATTCCTTTCTGGTAAGTAGCATAGCAGTTAAGAGAGCAGGCTCTAGGGCCTTCCCTAGAAGGTGGCGCAGTGGCTAAGAATCCACCTGCCAATGCAGGGGACACGGGTTCGAGCCCTAGTCTGGGAAAATCCCACATGCTGCGGAGCAACTAAGCCTGTGTGCCACAACTACTGAGCCGGCACTCTAGAACCCGCGAGACACAACTACTGAAGCCTGCGTGCCTAGATCCCATGCTCCACAACAAGAGAAGCCATCGCAATGAGAAGCCCGCACACCACAATGAAGAGTAGCCCCCGCTTGCCGCAACTAAAGAAAGCCCACGCACAGCAACGAAGACCCAACACAACCAAAAGTAAATAAATAAATTAATTGAAAAAAAGAGAGAGAAGGCTCTAGAACTCATGGTCCAACTCTTGAGTTCCTCGCGCTTGTGGTGCTGAGCACTTGAAGTATGGCCAGTCTGAACTGAAATGTACTCTCAGTGTAAAACACAACAGATTTTGAAGACTTAATGCAAAAAGAAGAGTGTAAGATACTTCATTAATATCTTTTGTATTTGATTACATGTTGAAATGATAATATCTTGGATATATTGGGTTAAATAAGTTATACATTTTACCTGCTTTTTCTATTTTTTAACATAGCTACTAGAAAACTTAAATTTACATATGTGGATCACATTTCTGTAGAACAGTACTACTCTAGAGCCAGATTGTATAAAGTTTAATCCTGGCTCTGCCTCTTTTTGCTCTATGACCTTGGAAAAATTAGTTAACCCCTCTGTGCCTCTGTTTCTTCCTATAAAATGCAGTTGTTAATAATATCGAAGGCATAGGTTATTGTGAATTAATTGAATTAAGGCATAGAAAACGTGTAGAAAAGTACCAGTATATAACAAGAATTTAACACGTGTTAACTGTCAATATTATTAATATGCCAGAGGAATTCAGAAGTTATAGCTAGGAGGATTTGATGTGATAGTAGTGGTTTTATATTCATGGAACTCCTAAAACTAGTCTTCATCAGACATTTACAAAATTGTGTATTTTTAACAGGAAACTTAAAATATTATGATACAGTGTTAGAAGAGTCTTCTCAGAGACCCAGAATGGAAAATCCAATAGACAAATTTGTCATACACTTTTTTTTTTTTTTAACTACATTGTGACAGCTAATGAAGCAGAGTCTGTGCAAAATGCCCCCCTTTTCTTTGAATAAGGTTTTTCTAAATGTAATTTTCTTTAAATAATTCTATGTGTTTTCAGTTATTGTGCTAACAATTTTATTACATTTTCAGCTGCAAAGCCTGTCTCCATATGTAAGTAGGTGTTGCTCTTTGTATCTGATATTGTGTGATTTAAGCAGAATGTGTCATAATTTTGGGAGCCAAGTTCTAAACAACTGTATTAAAGTATTTTTTCAAAAAAGTTTAAAAATAATTGCTCTGGTAAGGATATTGTTTACATGATTAAAATTTAAGCAGCTGTCTCAGTAGTTGAAAAAAAAAAACTTTATGCAAAATTCAGTCTGGTACACTAAGTGTTGAGGCAAATGAATAGGTCACTTCGAACATTTGGATCTTATTTTTCTTTGTTATTGAATGTCATTTTATTTTTATAACTCATGATCATATACTTATTTCCATCCTTATATTTTGCTTATTTGAACAATTATTTCCACATTGACTATATAAAATTATAACGTTAAAACTTTAAAAGAAACCTGAAGGATAGTTGACTTACAATATTGTGTTAGTTTCAGGTGTACAGCAAAGTGGTTCAGTAATTTTTTCAGATTATATTTCATTATAGGTTATTATAGGATATTGAATATAATTTCCTGTCCTATACAGTAAATCCTTGTTACTTATCTATTTTATGTAAAGTAGTTTGTATCTGTTAATCCCATACTTGTTTTGTTCTAAATAGGTAGATTTTTCCACTAAATTTTATATTTAGGAAAAAAATTGATATAGAGAATTTGCTTTTTTTTGGCAGCGGGGGCCACTCTTCATCGTGGTGCGCGGGCCTCTCACTGTTGCGGCCTCTCGTTGCGGAGCACTGGCTCCAGATGCACAGGCTCAGTAGTTGTGGCTCACGGGCCCAGTTGCTCCACGGCATGCGGGATCTTCCCAGGCCAGGGTTCAGACCCGTGTCCCCTGCATTGGCAGGTAGATTCTCAACCACTGTGCCACCAGGGAAGCCCAGAATTTGCTTTTTTAAAACAAAATCTAAGGGGAGGTATTCAGCCACTCTTCGGGGGCATCATTCGTTACCTCTGCCTTATGGGTTGTATGCAGAAAAGTAATAATGATGAAAATAATATCAGCCATTTATCAAAATGTATTATCTATCCAGGCTTGGACATATAGAAATTTTGCACATTATCTTTAATGACTTGCAAAACAGATATACTGATTTTACAGATAAAGAAACAGATATTCAAATTAAATAGCTTCCCAAAAGTCACACAGAAGCAGAGCAGTGATTGGACCTTTGGGCTAGTTGGTTGCACAGCCAGTCTACACTGGCCAATCTACCATGATCCCTCTCCAAGTTCAGTTTATGCATTTGTTCCTATAATGAGAACCTGGGAAAAATTCTTAACCTCTGGTTTTCTGTTTGCTTTTCTGTAATGTACAAGATTAATTCACTTGTTTACCTAACATTTGATGTTTGTGCAAGATACTGTGCTAGGAATAAGGTAATTTAACATTAATACCAGTTCCGTAAAAGTGTTATGGGATTTCAGGGTAGCACATGAGAGAGAAGTAGGTGCTCAGTGGAGATGCCTTAGAGCAAGAAGCATTCGAGCTGGATTTGAGCAGTAGGCACGGCTTGAGTAGGCAGTAATGACAGAAAAGCTTTTGAGGCGGCCAGCGCAGCCTGAGTAGAGGCCCAGAAGATGGAAAGCATGTTGGGTTCTTCCAAGTAGGAAGTTTTCTTTTTCTTTTTAAAAAATATTTATTTATTTATTATTTATTTATTTTTGCTGTGCTGGGTCTTCGTTGCGGCACGCGGGATCTTCATTGCAGCATGCGGACTCTTAGTTGCAGCATACAAACTCTTAGTTGCGGCATGCATGCAGGATCTAGTTCCCTGACCAGGGATCAAACCCAGGCCCCCTGCCCTGGGAGTATGGGCCACTGGACCACCAGGAAAGTCCCTCAGTAGGAGATTTTCATAAATTGATTTATAATGTTGTGTTAGTTTCTGGTTTACAGCAAAGATATTCAGTTATACATATGTATTGTTTTTCATATTCTTTTTCATTATAGGTTATTACAAGATATTGAATATACAGTAGTAGTTCCCTGTGCTATATAGTAGGACCTGGTTGTTTATCTACTGGGTTGGCCAAAAAGTTCATTCGGTTACTGAATATGTTGTTCAGTAAAGTTCTTCGTGAAAATGAAAAATGTGTCTTTTATTTTTACTTTAAACCAAACAAACTTTCTGGCCAACCCAGTATTTTATATGTAGTAGCTTGTATCTGTTAATCCCAAACTCCTAATTTATCCCTCTGCCACCCCCTTTCCCCTTTGGTAACCATAAGTTTGTTTTCTATATCTGCGAGTCTGTTTCTGTTTTGTAGATACGTTCATTTGTGTCATATTTTAGATTCCATATATAAGTGATATCATATGGTATTTGTCTTTTTCTGTCTGACTTACTTCACTTAGTATGATAATCTCTAGGTCCATCCATGTTGCTGCAAATGGCATTATTTCATTCTTTTTATGGCTGAGTAATATTCCCTTGTATATATGTACCACATTTTCTTTATCCATTCATTTTTTGATGGATGTTTAGGTTGCTTCCATGTCTTGGCTATTGTATATAGTGCTGCTGTGAACACTGGGCTGCATTATCTTTTCAAATTAGAGT